AAAATATTGGCGCAGTGAAAGAAGGAGGAGGGGGAGAGGGAGAAGGAGGAGGAATGATAGGGAAATCTATCGATGGGGCGGACCGTGTTCGAAAAGGCGGGGCTGAAGTGGGCATTGAAAGCGCGGGAAACATATTCAGCGCGGAAGGCGACGCTTTTTATTGTTCCGGCCACCGCCGTCGCTATCACGAAAACGAAGATATTAAAAGAGAAATTGTAAAGATGGAGGTAACGGAAGATGGGGAGAGTGACTTGTGCCTAAGCAACGAAAAGGAACATCCCGAAGATGAGGAGGAGACGGACAGAAGAAAGATGGAAAGCCCCGAACCGAGAAAAGAGACGGGGGAAAAGACTAGCCATCTTAACAATGAATCTTGTCGGGGCTCTCATCAAAGCTGTCCTCAAAAGTCTGTTTTTGACATGCCTTTCTACGGAAGACCAGAACCGTCAAAACCAGAATTAACCCGAACGGGGAAGAGGAGAGAGGAGGAGGAAGAGGAGGAGGAAGTGGAGGAGAAGGAGGAAGAAGGAGAAGAAGAAGAAGAGGGGATGATGATTAAAGAACAAAAAAAACAAAAAGAAATTGGAAGGAAAGAAACAGCCGCTGACGAAATAAACGAGATTAGCGATAATTCAAAACTCGAATACATGAAACTTAAAGAAAAAAATAACTGTATTAAAATTCCACACCCTCATCCTCAGCCTTACTCGCACCGTCTCCCCGTTTTACCTTACGACAACGATGATAAAAATGACAGAAAACTCCTCACCCATCGTCCGAACCATCCTGACACACCGAATACAGCAGTAATCCACCAATTCCATAAACAGACGCGAAAACCAACTCAAAACTCCCAAGAAGAAAAACCAAAATTGAATAAAGAATTTAATCTTCCAAAACATAGACAGACTTCAAAAATAGAATCATTTCAAGCTCAGTACCCGTACGATTCCAAAGTTCTTTTAGAAAACCCAAAACAACACCCGTTTACCTCCGCATGTTCGGACACTGACCGCCAGGTGAACAGTCTTTATTATCATCGCCAGAGTCCAGAATATCAGTATCGTCTGCAGGAAAAAACGCAAACTAAAAAAAGTCACCCACAACAAAAATATGAACAACAATTTTTACAACAGCTAATAAAAGAACGTTCGCTGTATATAATAAGTAGGGAGGTCGAGGAGGACGACGTCTGGGAAGTGGACCCCAAATTTGACCACACCCAAGAGGCCGGTTCGAATGGTTACACCTTGCGACGAGAAAAAACAAACGGAGTGGGAGAAAAAGCGGGAAAAGATGAAGCAGTAGCGATACATATTAATAAAGAAGTTGATAACAACAACAATAATCAAGTCTACAAATACTTTTGCAATAATAATAATAATAATAATAATAATAATAACAACGGTGAAATCGTTGAAATCGTTCCATGTAAGCAAAAACAGACAAACATATTTGAAACAGACAATAAGAAGGGAGAAAAAAATAACTCAATCGTGTCACCTTCGAATAATAAACAATATATCGAATCTAATCCGTTGTACATAAAAGTTACCAGTGAAGCCTTGCTCTCGAACGAGAACGTGTTAGACTGCCATCGGCAAGAGCCAGGAGCCGGTGACTCTTACACAGGGCCCGGTCGGTATCAAGAAAACCTCCAGCAGCAGGTCTGCGAACGATTCTTTCCCGAAGAGTTCGTCTATGGATTTTTAACAAGCATCGATCCCGTTTTTTGTGATATCGACGAAGTTGAAAGATTTCCAAGTGTCGAAGAAGCATCCGACCACAGTAACCAGAAAGGGCAATCAGAAAGCTTTCGTTCAATATGCAGGTACACCCAAACTAGCCCTTGCGAAGATCTGCACAACGATTACACATACCCAGACGGGTGTTTCGGTAAAAGAGTCAAAAGGCGACGGTTATCCATAAATGAGAACCGCCGACACGAAACGCCTTCGTTTTGTCTGCATTCTCACGAAAAGTTCCGGGGTGAAGTTGGTTCGGTATTTCAACCGAAAAAGGCGGAGTCTGAGAACGCAAGAATCGGGACAGAAAACGGTGGAATCAAAGATTCAGTTCAAAGTTTTAGTGACACGGATCTAGCCCCGAGTGTCCAAGAGTCTTGTGTTTACATGAAACTGACCTCGTCTCGTCCACTGGAGAAGTCTGCTGATGCGGGCGATTTCTTTGGTGGAAAAGTCCTGGATAGTTGCTATGAATTCAATCAACCGCAGACCGGTAAAACCCGGAATATCATTAGCGGTTGCGAAGACCAACAGATCCCCCCACCTCGCCAGAAAGAAACGCCAAACAGGTACCAGTATATTCCGGACCCATCTCTGCTACAATCACCTCCTCCTTTCAACTACCTACCGCCACTTCTGCTGACGTCATCGACGCAAACAGACCAAGCCTATCGAGATCATTACCATCACCAACAACACCCCCAACGCTACCTGCGATTGGACCCACCCCGGGAGAAAAGCGAGAACACAGGTGAAAAAAAGAGACAAGAAGAAAGAAAAAGAGAGGGCGTAAGTGACAGTCAGATTTCGAGCCAGGACTCAGATTGTAGACTTTTAAATTCTTTGTCCAGTTTGCAATATTTTAACCAATCTCACTATATTAGTAGGTGCAGCTACAATATTGATTTTAACAATACTGGTAATACTAAATTAGATTTTTTCAGTAATGGCCTTTATCAAGAAGATCTTTATACAGGAAACAATTTCCATCGAAACATATACCACAGATCTACACCTAACGAGCCCAATTGGCCCCAGAAAACAGATACTAACCTACCCAGCCCTAGTAACAGTAACAACAGCCATTCCCCTACCTGCTACAGCGAAGTCCTTGGTCATTCGTTAATAGATATAGGAGGAGGAGGAGGAAGAGGAGGAGGAGGAGCTCTTGGAGTGGAAGTAAGAGTGGGTGAAAACGGAAGGAGTAGTAGTAGTAGTAGTAGTGATTCTAGTAGCGGGCGAAGTGTTAGCAATAGTAGCCTTGATGCGAGTTGTGGCGGCAGTGTTGGAGGGGGAGAGATCGAAGATGATCGTGGCAGCGGCGACGAAGGCGAATGTGGCGGTGGTAGGAACGACACCGGCGACCGTGACGCGGTGCGCATTAGATCCATGTCGGACTGCCCCGGTTTCACTCGTGGATGCGGAGACGCTAGCCCCAGAAAGAGACGCTGCCTGACACCGAACCCGTATCAAATCCAGAGGCACGCCGCAAACATTAGGGAGCGAAAAAGAATGTTGAGTATCAACTCGGCCTTCGAAGAATTGCGCTGTCATGTACCGACATTTCCCTACGAGAAGAGGCTGTCCAAGATCGACACCCTGCGACTAGCAATTGCCTATATTGCTCTTCTGAGGGAGATCCTGATGTCTGGCGTCGACCCGCTTGAATACGTGGAGAATTCGCTGAGGCAGGGAACCAGCGGCAAGATGAAAGCAGCTTGGAATACTAGTGGTAAGTAAAATGTTTTTTTTTAACATACTTCACCCAATACAAGGCCCAAGAGCCACTCGAGATAGAGGGTTACTAAGGCTGATACAGGGGAGAAATATTATGAGGATAGTTCCCTCAATACAAGGCTCAAAAGCCACTCATGGTAGAGGGTTACTGAGTGAGATTGTAAGGGAGGGGCAAGAGAGAAATAAGAGAGTATTACGAGAATAGTTCCCCAAATACAAGACCCAAGAGCCGCTCAAGGTAGAGTGTTACTGAAGATTTTTAGTGAAATTGTAATAAAGGGAGAAATAAGAGGACGAGTAATATCGTTTGACCCTAGACTTAGATAGACCAAGATATTAATTGCCAGGAAAGCATTCTCTCGGGAGTTTATCAAAGGAAAACGAAGCGAATACGGATGGTTTGCCATCGTGAAAATGGTATGGCGGGTCCTAGCTGTGAAAGTTTGAACTGGTGATTCTAAGGGATGTAACTATTCCGAACATCTGCGATAAAGTAGTGGAAGTTTGGCGTTGTTTCAGCTCTGAAATAAGGGTTTCAAAATGGAGAATTATTCATCACCCACAAGGCCGCGTAAGTGATGATTAGGCAGCACCAGCCTAGATATGGCAGCTATACTCTCTTCTTGGTCTTTCGAGCTCTTATAAAGATTGAGCATGACAGCGCGCGGGCGGGGGTAATGATTCCTATTTTTTTCAACTTTTCAATTCTCTTTTTTTTAACGATGTCTCGTCTCTTTAAAACACGTTGGCTCCCAAACCTCGTTTGCCTTGTTGTCCCAGGGTCCCAACACTATATCTTAAATCCTGTTTAGCGAAATGAGTGTGATAAGAATGGTAGGATGATTATTTTATTGGAAACTTTGTGAATAAATTGAAATGGCTGAAGGTTTTAAAATAAATAATATTAGATTGGTGCAAAAATAATGACGTAATAATGTCGTTTTTTGACGTATTTTTTAAGGTCAAAAACGACATTATTACGTCATTATTTTTGCACCAACCTAATATATTTTTATTTATTTTCTTTAGTGATGAGTGAGTCCTTTGTTATTCGGTGTAGCAAAAAGTTTGTTATTAAGGGCTTCTGGGTAACCATTAAACTTCTTTTTACCAATTCCTTTAACTATATATATATATATATATATATATAATATAATATAAAAAGGAAAATAGAAGTCAACACTTAGAGGTGACAGTCTGTTTCATGCTAGATTCAATCGTCAGGTCATGCCATATATATATATATATATATATATATATATATATATATATATATATATATATATATATATATATATATATATATATATATATATATATATATATATATATATATATATATATATGTGTGTTTAGGCAGAATCTTTTCATCTATGTAAACATTGACAGACTATCATCACTGTCTTGTCCGTATATTGCTTAATATGTTGTAATTGACATATTTGATAATGGCTTATGTAAACCGAAAGCTTAGATTGTATTAAAAAAATATGGATCCATATTGTGAATTTCTTTCTTCGTTCAACGATAATGTTATTAAATTTATCAGACGTTACGAAAAAATTTACATAAAATAAATAGACAACACTTGTCTATATTATTTAATGAAACGTGTATGAATATATATATATATATATATATATATATATATATATATATATAAGTGTACATATATATGTGTGTGTGTATATGTATATCTTCACAAATATATATACACTAAAGTTGAGGACACACTGGTAATTTTTTTAAATTGACCTAAAAGTAGTTGTTATGAAAATTTAACCTTAGAACACTAACCATAGGTATATAGTACCCAACACAATTTTTCCTATTTTTAATTACAATTTTCAGTACCTGATTTTCTTACCTAAATAATGCTTTTCAGTTTCTATTAATGTTAACTCAAAGTACAAAGTTTGAAGTGCCTGCATGTAAAATATTTCAAATAAAGATTTATATTTAATATTTTCTTTGATATTTTCAAAATCGGGTATGATATACCCATGGTTAGTAGTGATGTAACTTTAATTGATGGTTAGTGTTCTAGAGTTAAATAAGAGAAAATTTTCTCCTCTTTTCCAACTGTTATTACTACAATCATGTCACTATCTGTTTATTTTTTCTACACACCCCATTTTCTGACTATAGTTTTCCAAAAAATTTTTTATTATATATATATAATTATTTCATCATAAGCAAGGCAACAAAGTCACTAAGATACAGGGAGGGTTTCTGAATGTGATAAAAATAGAAGAAAAATAAAAACATTAACAATTTCGCTCCCAGGCTTCGTTCCCCTTGTTGTCTCAGGTTCCCAACATTATATGTTAAATCTTGTTTAATGAAATGAAGTAAAAAGTGAGTGTGAAGCAAATTGATAAAAAAAAAACAAAATTAAATTCATTTTAAGCTGAATGTAATGGTAATCTTTCCCTCTGCCTTGAGTGTTTCAATAAGAGACATATAAAATTAAAATCAACTTTTCCAAGTCGTGTAGCAATATGGGCTTCTATATTTTTTCTTTTATATTTTTTCAAGAAATCAGACGTCAAGAATGTGATGTCTGTTAGATAAGAATACTTGTGTTTATTTTACTGGTTGCGTACATTATTTTCGTTTTCCTAAGTACTCAGTCTTTTAGTTGACCTGAATGTAGGGTACAGCAGTATAAAAATAAAATAAAAAATAACCCCACAAAAAAAAAAAAAAATACAGTAGATAGTCCAAAAAGAAAACACAAAAAGTCAAAAAAATAAAAAAAATATTTAGACTTTTTTGGAAACGATCAGTTTTTCTACAATACCAGCATGCCGCTTTTTCTCTCCAAGAACTAATATTTTGCTCTTTCCAAAAAGTTATTCTAGTCCATTCTTTGTTGACTGAAGAATATCTATTCTTAAGTTTTCTAGAATTACTGTTTGGTTGTGGGAGAACAGCAATTTTCCATGTTTTGACGTTCCATTCTAATTAGAAAAATAACGCTTAACTTTTTAACATATTGGCCCCCAAGCATCGTTCCCCTTGTTGTCCCAGAGTCCTAATACTATATCTTTAATCCTTTTATAGCGAAATAGGAAAGACAGTGGGTGTAAAGGAAACTGATAAAAAAAAAATTAAATTCATTTTAAGCTGAATGTAAAGGTAATCTTTCCCTTTGTCTTGAGTGTTTCAATAAAACATAAAATTAAAATCAACTTTTTCTAGTCGTGTAAAAAATATGAGCTTTTATATTTTTTCTTTTGTATTTTTTCTTTTATATCTTTTCAAGAAATTATTTTGATTTCCTAAGTAAATAAAGTTTACTTTTTTTTTTTAATTTCATAATGTTTTGCCAATAAAATTTTCTATTTGCTCAATCTTTAAGTTTACCTGAAGCCAAGTTACGTCTCTTTATGTAAAAAAAAAAAAAAAAATGACCCCCAAAAAACAATATTAGAAATTTCAAAAGGAAAGCGAAATAAAAGAGAAAAAAAATAAAAAATTAATTTTTTTTAAAATGTCGTTCTGGTGTACCATGATGTCATAAGGAATCAATCATAGCATCCCAATCCCAATAATCTTCATAGAAAAAAAAAATTGGAAAACGACCCACCGGAGGGTTGTGTTAACCTTGCAGACAAACCCACCACGGCCCTCCGGTGTGTCGTGTGGGTGCCAACGTTTTAAAATATATCAAGTTCACAAGTTCGATTTATTGTAACCACCTTCGCACGATATACAGGGCAAACCTGCTCAAAATACAACTTGCGGGTCGCATGTTAGCCCGTGAAACTACCAAGTGTGGCTTGTGAAGGATTTTCCAGATAATTAATTTTTTTTTCTGAGCATCAGACTAAGTTTGGCGACTGATCGCGTACGAAACTTCAATTTTCTGGAAGCATGACTTTATTCAGTCCATGTTGAATTGTAATAAATCTTTTAAATATCCCAAAGAAATATCACCTACCTAATAAGGTCGACCTGTGTACCAAAAGTAATGCAAAAATGTTTGTTTTTGATGAAGGTATGCATCTACTTT